CTTCAAGAGGAGACTGGATGGTCACCTTGCTGGGGTCACCCGACTCCAGTTGTCTTTCCTGCCTGGTGAGGTCCCTTCTAGCCTTGCAATCTATCAAATATTCCTATTTGCTTTCAGGAAAGCAAGTAAGTAACTGTACAGATGTGCTTAAGTCTCTCTGAAGTCCAAATTTCTTATACTTTCAAAGGAAAAAGTCTATTTTTGTCTTGGTTCTAATCAACTAAATTTGGTGATCTTTTGGTGATCAATATGATCTTTTTTATGGAATTGAGAGAAAAGGGCCATTATTACATTTACAATAGCTTATGTATTTCCTATGCACTCACCTTTTCATTGGCCATCGAGTGGTACCACCAGAAGAGCCGGGTGGTGATATAATAAGCAATGATGACATCCACAGTGTAGTGTTCATGTGCAACAAGGATACAGATTATTCCAGCAGCACTCATCAGCCAGCAGATTAAATGATACCACCAGAAATGACGAGGTGAATCTGTCAACCAAAAAAAACAGAAGGTGAAGGTTGCTATACATTTCTATATGATAATACAGGTAAGATTCAGCTATTTAAATTTGAACCCATCTGGTGTGTACATATTTTATTCATATTTGTGGAAATATCTGCATTTCAGTAAGAATATACACTTAAGAACTAAATTAGCTTACTTGACATAAAGCAAACATTTTCCTCCCCATGGTCTCTCATGCCCTAAGAAGTTCCAGCTGAGGGAGAGATGAACGTTTATAAATAATCTAAGTTTGTGTGTTTAAAATGATTTTGAGCGTATAGAAATAAAGAAAGAAGCCAACTACTAACTCCATGCTTGTCAGTGTCATTTTCCCAAAAGCTGAATGTTATTTAGAGTCCTTGTTTTTTTTGTGCCAAGACCAATTTACAGTTAGGGTAGATGCTGCTCCACTTGTACTCATTAAAAATAAACTATTCTAATACATAAATAAATATTCTACTTTACATCCAAAGTAGCTCCCGGTCCCATAAGGAGGAAGTTCAGGAGAATCTATGTCCCTATACAGAGTGTGGTGTGACATATAATTGCAGACAGGATTCAGTTATGTGTTGGGAGGCAGGGAAGGAGGAAGAGGTAAGAGGTTGAGGAAAGAGACTAACTCCCCCCCCCAAAAAAACAAACAAACAGAAAACAAACAAACAAACAACCAAAAAACAAACAACCCAAGAACAACAAAATCATACTTCTGAAGTCTTCCAAAATATTAAGGCTAAATCCACCCCTGTTAACCTAGAGGATTAGGATTTAGATACAACTTAAGTCATGTCATCTAACTGATGACACTAGTTTTACAAAGAAATGGTACACTGGCAGGAAGCATGCACCTTTCAACATTCTGAGTGAAAGCAGCAAGAGATCAGGAGGAAACTTTCATACTTTTTTCCTGGATACCAGTAAAATGCCCAGACAAAAGCTAGGATAGGAGGAAGGAGAACAGAGGAAAACAAAGTAACCCTAGAAAAACTGATGGTCTTTCATACTGGAAACACATCTGATCAAAGAGCCAAAACACACTGCAAGCGACTTCTAATCAGAGCAATAATATTGCATATGCCCTTGCTTGGAAAACTACATTTTTTTAATTACACAGGAAGCAGCAATGAGAAAATGAGGAACAGTACTGATGTACAGACACTGATTGCACAGCAGCAGCATTCCTATGGGATACATGGCCAATTCTTCAGAGGCAACTTCAGAGGGTTCGTTATATTACAATCTGCTTGTTATGGTTCTTTCTACCCTTTGTCCTATTTAAAGCCATCTGAACTACACTATTCCTCCCCCATTCTCACCCCCAAAATTTTGAAATAAAGAGTTAACTATATCTTGCCTGGGGCACATATTAAAGGGTAAAATTTTAAACTGCCCACTGTTAGGCTGTGATAACATTCATGCATACAATATTATTAAGAGAAAGCAGTAAATCCTGTTGCCACCTACTCATGGAACATTAGGCTATATGCCATCTGTTCTACCAATTCTGATGTATTAATTACATGTGAATCACTGCCGGAAAGTTTTCAGTACTGCGAAATTTAGGCTTAGCGGTCACCACACCACATACCAGTCTCTAGTTGCTGGGGGAGGAAAAAGGAGGGGAAGGGGAAAGAGGGGCAAACCTCTGTCAATATACAAGTTCTGCATGCAAGATTTCACATAACCAAGCTTCATTGTTTGACTGATTATGGGGTTCTGCAGGGATCTATTCCG